GGACAACAGCGACCATGATCTCATCAGGTTCACTGTCCACTGCAAGGTTAACAAATCAACTAGCAGGATCCAAGTCCTGGACTTCAAAAATGCTGACTTCAACAGGCTCAGGGCATTAATAGGGGAGGCGATGCAGGACCAGGGATGAAAGGCAAATGGGGTGCACAAAGAGTGGACATTCCTCAAGGATATGATCCTCAAAGCACAAAAGAAAACTGTTCCCATGAAGAAGAAAGGTAAAAGAAGGGCTGGCAAGCCCTCCTGGTTCAATAGGGACATCCTGGTCCCTTTGAAAAAGAAAAAAAGAGGCATAAATTCAGTGGAAGCTAGGGTCAGTCCTCAAGGAAGACTATACAACAGTGGTCTGCATTTGTAGGGATATGATTAGGAAACCTAAGGCGGTGACTGAGTGTAAGTTAGCCAAGGGAGTCAAGGACAATGAGAAGTCCTTCTCTGGGTATGTAAGGAGCAGAAGGAAAACAAATGGAAGTGTGAGGCCCCTGCTTAACACCTCGGGACAGCTGGTAATGGACACTCAGGAAAAAACTGAACTCCTGAATGCCCACTTTGCTTCAGTATTTCACCAGACCAAGGCGAAAGACAAGCTAGATAAGGATCACACAAGGGATGGTGGGAATGATAGCCTTTCCACTGTGGATGATGAGCTGGTGCAAAACCAACTAGAAAAGCTAGACATTTATAAGTCAGCAGGACTGGATGGACTTCACCCGAGAGTACTGATGGAGCTGGTTGAGGTCATAGATTCATAGAAGTAGGGTCAGAAGGGACCTAAGTAGATCTTCAAGTCCGACCCCCCACCCTGGGAAGGAGAGAATACTGGGCTCATATGACCCCAGCTAAGTAATTATCAAGCCTCCTCTTAAAGACCCCCAAGGTAGGAGCCAGCACTTCCCTTGGAAGTTGGTTCCAGATCCTAGCCGCACTGACTGTGAAGTAGTGCCTTCTAATGTCCAGCCTGAACCTACTCTCAAACAACTTATGGCCATTATTCCTTGTTACTCCGGGAGGTGCTCAGGGAAACAGGGTCTCTCCCACTCCCTGCTGGTCCCCCGTGGTAAGTTTATAGATGACCACCAGGTCCCCTCTCAGCCTTCTCTTGTGAAGGCTGAACAGGTTCAGGTCCTGTAGCCTCTCCTCGTAGGGTCTGACCTGCTGTACCCAGATCATGCGAGTGGACCTCCTCTGGACCCTCTCAATGCTTGCCACCTCCCTCCTGAAGTGCGGCACCCAAAACTGGATGCAGTACTCCAACTGTGGCCTGACCAGTGTCGCATAAAGGGGGAGGATCACCTCCTTGACCCTGCTTGTGATGCATCTGTGGATGCA